TTCATTGGATAGAATTGACTGATCACTATTGACGAGTTCTAGATAGGACCAAAAGCGCATCCTGGATTCCACTGCAAGGCAGTTTACAATAATAATTCCAAGTTTGAAAAATACCTGCAATATTGAGACATCCTTGTTGGAGCCCATATACCAACAATCGACAATCAATTCGATCCAGTCAAAGAGGTAGATGCACGAGTTATAACACCGAACACTATTAACTGTCTACTTACAATTACACTGTTCACTTATGTATTTCGATATATTCTGAGAAATAAGTTACAAAAAGAGCCTATTTATACCATTCAATATATTTCCATACATTAGGTCGATCTTCATAGACATCACAAGCTTAAAATATCTAATCACGAAAATAAATAAGAATTAGAAATTTTCTTTTGAAGTTCAAAATATCAGATTTATGACCTGCTTTATATTAGGTCGGTTATCTTTTTTTATGTATCATCATCGTTATGTGAGCTACATCGACGAATAAAATATATTGCTTTGCAGTCTAATAACCTTTTGTCCCATAAGAATATGTAACGCATTAAAAAATTTTATCACTCCGAAACAATAATGGCTTATGAAGAACTGGTTATTGAAATATATATGACATATGCTTTGTTTTGATCCGTATCATTCAGTCATAAGAACCAGCGATACTGCATATGGACAAACTAAAAAAGTGTCGAACTAAACGCATATGAACATAGGAAAAGAAAGAGAACAAAAGTAAAGAAGGGAAGATTTTATTTTCGAAAGAATGATTTTCTTAGGCGCACACTCATTAATATACGGAAAATAAACGGTTGATTACAGAGCGAAATATGATTGCATAATAAGGAAATAATATAGAGCAATCGGTCTTTTACTATGGCCATGGAAAAAAAATAAGGTTGTAAATATTAATTTTGGACGCACAGTGATCGTTTAAATCTTTGAATTAGTAATTTTTCAGTTGTGGCTGCACTTCATTCTGTAGGAGTTACCAGCAGGAACCAAGATTCCTGATTTTCCCCGATATTTGATTAAAGAGTTGAAGATGCATTATCAACCAGGTTGGGTAGTGTACTTGGAGGAATTTCACAAGCCGGCGCATGGTAAAGACGAATCATCTGGTTATCCAGTAGTCACCAAACTGGTACACACATAGTGAGATGACTTAGTGCTCCAGAATATGACTCCAAGGTTGGCATCAAAAATTTTCCGTTTATAGATATTGATAGTGTCTTTCTAGGGATATCTGCAAGGTTATTTCCTTTGAATTTGAAATCCAATAGTAAAGTCGTCTTTGAAGTAGAATGCAAGAGTTCCTTGATGTTTCTCAACTTTGGATTTTTATCTGTGAATCTCAGTGGTTATCCATTTCCCACTAAGATATCTCTCGAAATTTTAGTTTACTATCGATAAAATCCTCCATGTATATTCTTCGTATTCCTTCTGCTTAAAGGGACACAAATATGGAAAGTAATAAACTGTGCATTCCAAGTTAATTTTCTGTAAACAAATCTTTGGATTGAGTTGCCACTGCTTTTTGAAGTTGGCTATTAAGGAAGTGGAATTTAAAAATCTATTTTACTTCCAGAGTGAAGCTGACAAAAGGATGGGCTCATTCCTTTCAAGTTTGCATTCTCTTAAGCAGAAACAAGAGTCTTATCGACTAATCTACTTAAGAATACCTATTTATAAGTGAGGTGAAGTTTGAGACCATGCCTACTACTCCTAATTGTTTTTGTGGTCATAATATAAGGTGCCTATATTTAGGGGTATATCTCTGATTACCAAATATGCAAATCTTGGACTATTTGACTGCTTTCATGAATATCATTTTTATCTTTTCATCCACGAATATATATATATATATATATTTTACTTCTCGAACTAAGATTATGGATACCGTTTTTAAAAGTTCCATTATATGAGTAGAATGTGACAAAATCCAATCTGAATAATCATTATCTTCTTTCTTTTCCGCACACAAAGCTGAATAGATTCATTTACGCATATGTTGTTTTAAACAGTTTCAAATGCAACACTGTTTTTGTAAGCACATGCAATCTAAAACGGTTCTGTCACCGAAGTATATCTGGAAAGCACATACGCATACTTTTATGAAGTTGACAAGAGAGTATAGATTGAATTTAAAGATAACATTGATTAACAGTGATCATAACTTGTTCAAGTAGATGTTGTAGATCTTTTTGTTAAACTGGTTGGTAATAAAGTTTATTATTGAGTACTATAAAAAACAGAAAGAGATTAAAATGCAAGCGGAGTTGTGATTTCCCTTAAAAGTAAATAACAGCGTTATAGATAGAATATGCCCAGTTGGTGATGAACAGATTTGGACTGGAGAAGCGAACAGAATTAAAATAGAAACCTTCAAGTGTATAAAAGGAGCCTGATATATGCAAAAACATATTAGATAAACGAAAAAAACTTAGGTCTTTTAATGAAATCTCTTAAGCTAAAATGTGATCGACAATCATGCATTTTTATGGGTAGAATGATTTCAGTTACCTGGAGACTGGTTCATGCAATACGCTGAAGTCTTTGGACTCGCTGAATAATCACCACGATCGTTGAAGTCAAAATTATATCGGTTGACAGGTGGGTGATGAATAGACAGGCTTCCAAAAGTGTTTACCTCTTAAAGTACCAGAAATACGTCACCAGAAGCATCAGACATATCAAATGAACTACAAGGTTGTAACTTCCCTTAGCTGACTTAATGCTGTGCTGATAGTTGAACTAGAATGCTAGGCTAACTTTGAGATTTGCATTCCTATCTTATTCATGTCAAACGATATTTTGTAGCT